GAGTAGAGTAGAGAGAGAGAGAGAGAGAGAGAGAGAGAGAGAGAGAGAGAGAGAGAGAGAGAGAGAGAGAGAGAGTTTAAGTCAACACAAACCCAAGATGCAACATAAAGGAACAAGAAAGAGCATGGCAATACAATGAGAAGCCGACCACAAGAATAACCACTAACCAGATTTGCATACAAAAATATTGCATGTGAAAGGAATAAATAGATCAGAAAACAAAGCCATATCAATTGATAACATATATTTTATATTTACCCGGAGTGAGCACATTGGCCGGTGCATTTACAAGCTCTCTAGCCAAAATCACCCCCGAACAAAATTCCTCTGTGTACTTGAGCTTCTTCTCTATATCAGGACCAGTCCCTAGACCAATAATATCCAAAGACTTCAGCACTGGTTTCTTTGACTCTGACTTGAATCTATTATCTTCATAAATACCCAAAATTGTACCTGTATAATACAATGTAGACAGTCCATCAGAAAAATGATTCAAATCAAATCTTCAAGTAACCAAGTAATAGGGAGATCTTCGAAGCCAACATGCATTGTTTCTGCAATTGATTTTTTTTTTATTTTTTAAAAAAAGTGCTACCAACCCAAAGTTATTTTTTCTTCATTAAATAACCCATTGTTACGACAATTGATTGAAACAAAATATTGTTACTAACCCAAAATAATTCATTTTATGCATTGAACATAAAAATTGTTGTTAATCCCAAACTTCTTTTTGGTGATCCATTACTAACCCGAAACTATTGCTGATGCAGTGTTCAGTTTAGCCTCTGAAGAAAGACAATCAGAAGAAGCAAGAAGAACACCCACATTAGCTGCTTGAGCAGCTTTAGCAGAAGAAGCAACAGCTTCACCAAAACCTTTAAAAGTAGCAGTGGTCAAGCTCCCTTGGCCTAGACCAATTAGACCCACCCTTCGAAAACCCAAACCAGGAAACCTAAGAACTGTTGATTGACCAGGTTTTCCAGTGAAATCTTCTTCTTTTGAGGCTTCAGCCAATAGGCCACTCAGTAAGCCATCGAGCTTTTGAAGAACCAAGTTCTCGAATGCTCCTTTCTCGTCTCTTGCCATGTCTTTCTCTGAAACACCAACCGCCAATACATCTCCTTTCCATTCTGCAAAATCTATGTCTTTTACTGAAAGATCAATCTGCATCATGGACAAAGATCATAAGATGGGTGAACCCAAATTGGATTGAGAAGCATTAATTTGATCAAAATTTTGGTAGGAATCCCCTTCCAAGAGAGACAAAACTGTTTCCTTTTTTTTTTGGCTGGGAATTTTGAATCATTTGCCATAAGAGCAAAAAATTGTAGTGATAGATGAAAAGGTTCAGAAATTCTCGCAAATATTTGGTGGGGTTGGTTTTCAAAAGTCCATGTCTCTCTCAAACGGGCTTTTCGAAACATTTGACATCAGAGCAAAAATGAAGTGATAGATGAACAGGTTCAGGAATGCTCGCAAATGTATGGTGGGTTTTCAACTCTCTCTCTCTCTCTATCTCACACACACTTGTCATGCTCCTCTTTCTTTCTCTCAAACTCATGGTGGTTACTACCCACACTAAATGGATCCTGCCCTCTCTCTCTCTGCAATTTCATCAAATACTTCCCATTCAAAGACCAAAACAAAAGAAATACATTAATGCTCAGAAGAAAGAGAAAATGTGTACACCCCACCTCAGGCAAAGAAACAGTTGCAGGCTTTGTGAGCCCCAAGTTGACGTTCGCCATAGCCGACATCTGAACCTTCCTCGACAACAACAATCGACTTCGATAGTAAAGAGGCCCAACAGAACGAGAAGAATAAATAGAAGAAGAGAGAGAAAAATAAGACGAGAGAGAAAAATGAGAGAAAGAAGGAGAACGCAGGACAAATGGAGGCCTAAATATAGCCCAAGTTGCTGTTTTTGTAAAAGCCATTTTCGTGCCCACTTTATAGTATCAGAGGGCGTGAATTTTGCTCTTCTTAATGTGAGTTTTGGCACGTGTGATGCAAACTGTTTGTTCTCTTGCACGTGGCGTGAAGCATGAAGAGAGAGGGGACCCGTTTGATTATGCTTGAAACGATGACTTTAATTAATGGATGTTATTAATTAAGGGTTGGAATTATTTTGGGTTTTGGGGAAGTTGGTGAGAATTTCAATGCTGAGATGAAGACTTTGTATAATTGATTGAAATAGACTTTATGTATGGATTTGAATAGCCTACCCTATTTTATAAACAATAATAATAAATAAATACATAATAAATAAATACATACATATGGTTGCAAGCTTATTCTATAAACTTCTATATGCACTTCAAAAATGACATAAAAGAGTCAATCGAGATTAAAAAAATAAAAAAATTTAAATATTAAAAATAGTGCATCTTAGAATAAGTTATATGGACCGTTTATTTCAAAAATTTTATATATTGGTATATTTACTCAATCTACACTGATTTGAAAATTTTAGCTTTCATAATTAGGATTGAACGTGGATTTATAGCCATCATAAGTTTAGGATACCTGAACTACTTCTTTTGTCAAAATTTATAGGTATACTGCGGGCATATTATATAAACCCCAACCTGAAAAAGTTTATATAAGGTATCAACCTTATACTATTCAAGTACGACTTGCCTAAAAAATGCTATAGAAGATAACGTTCTGATGTAGAAAAAGCTTCCAATTTGATCATCTCGACCGCAAGATGCATGAATATGAAAAAAATAAAAAAAATTAAGTAATAAAAATATTATATTTTGTGATAATTATTTGGATAATTATTTTCAAGATTTTTAAGTATTTATAAATCTACTCGTTCTGTATCATTTCTAAATTCAAATTTTGTAACTAGGGATTAAAAATAGTTTTTAAGCCCTTACAAAATATCTAACACGAGAACTACATCTCCAAACAAAATCTATAGGTATGCTTTACTTCGATGGTATAAGGGGCCAACTTATACAGCCCTCATCCAAAAAGAAAAGGACAATCTACCATACCATGGACTATGGAGAAAATATTATATGCCATGAGTTGGATCTTCTACAAATTGACATCATCTTCAAAATTATTTGACATTACCCTAGGATGATTGGGGAGTGTTTTTCCTATTTTAAAATTCGGACAAAATTTTTATATGTCAACTATGGTAAGAGTTTCGTTCCTCTGCTCAAGGTCCGTCATTAATGATCTTCGAATTTGATAAATTATGCTCCATAGCTATTTCTATTTGATGACTTAGGACTTAGGAGGTGCTAACTATCAGTAAGAAACCCAAATGCTATATGTTCTTACTGATAGTATGGCCATTGATATAGCAGAATAGCAAATTAAGATTCCTATAGCCGACCCTAAATATTTGAAAAAATGTTTTGATAATGATAATAAAAGAAGTTGGTATACAATGGGTGTCATAAAATTCTACAAAAATTCCATGCCACCCTAGCAATTGACGATCACAATGGACAAGTGGTGTGTGTCATTCCTCTACTCAAAGTCCATCAATTCAACTCCGTTGAATTTGATGACTGTGTTGTAAAAATTTCGTGCAAAATCTTCTCCTAAATCATAATCCTTGACTTCTTGCAAAAGAACAAAGCACCTATAGTGAGGGGAAAGAATATGAATGAAGCACCACTGTATAAATGAGGGAAAGAATATGCATGAAGCATGCTTTCAAAACGCTTCATGTGCATAAGAACAAGATATGAGCCATAGGGTTCATTTGTTACATGTATCAATGTATAAATATGTGGTTTTCTATTATTATTTCGTGACCCCAAAGCCCCGTTTTCCTTCGATGGTGAGAATGCATCCACTTAGTGAAGGTTTCCAATACGTACTAAGAAAGAGAAGATTAAAAAAAATGTTATTTATAGGGTATTTTCAAAACAAATTATTTTAAAATTCAATGTTGACCATCTTTATGATGGGGCAATGTTTAAGAAACTTTGAAATCGTCACCACCTCGACAGATCAGGAAAGAGATAAAGAAAGTTAAAACATTAATAATAATAAAAAATATCTACGAGAAATAAACATTTAACACTTTATACAAATTTCAAAATACCCATCAAAAGTGCATGGTCTTGATAGATGATAAGATATTTAAATAGTTCATAGTATTTTGATAATTTTACAGAATAATAAATAAATAATACTTAATAATAATAATAATAATAGTAATAATAATAATAATAATATTATTATTATTATTATTATTATAATAATAATAATAATAATAGTAATAATAATAATAATAATAATAATAACAACATGATAAATAAAAACCGGATGGAATAAGGTGATTTAAATACTTTTGAGAACTAGATTGTCCACCCATCGGTTTTAATCTAGATCAACTGGTTCCAATCCAGATATATATTTTACCAACCCAACAATAAAATAACGATTTGGTTTTAGGAATAACAGTCTCCATCTTTCTAATATTGTGCAACATGGACATGAAAGTTCAAAGCTTGGGCATGTGTTCACATTGGAAACTCTACACTTACTAAACTATCATCGTTAAATTTGATTTATAAAATCTTTCAACATTACTTATGATCGTATTTATAGATGATGTATAAATATGTCATGCCTGAAAGAAACAATTTTTCATTGATATTTCTAATAGTGTGTATGATGCTAACTCTCATATATGTATCCTTGTAACATAGCTCCAATCTCATATTTACAATGAGAAAAAAGGAAGTCGAAAGATTAATCTTCTTAGAGTCTACACTATTAAACATGGTTGGATGATGTTGATCAATCAATCAAAACCATGACTAAACCCCATAACTCATAT